CAATTTTTCGTGGTCCCCTCGGTTCGTGGAAAAATATCTATTCAATTTTCCTCGTTGATATCATCATCTTGCGGGAAAGGGTTTTTGTTCAGTAGGTCTCTGCGTTCCCGGGACTGCTCTTGAGTCACGGAGAATGGTAGAAACTTGTTAAATGAAGGAATCTCTTCGGATAAAGTAAGGACTGGAAGAGTAGGCCTGATTGAGATTTGTCTAAGGTGAGGAGAAGCAATTAATACCGAGAAATATAAGTGTTAGGATCCAAAAAATCAGATCAGAGAACTGGAGCGGCCAGCACAACACTTCAACCATCAGCTGGGTAATGGTAAAAAGAAAGTGTTCCGAACAAACGAAAAGACTTGGATACTTACCCAGACCGGGGATGAAGACATTCAGAAAACAGCAAAGACCAGCCAGTGCCAATGGCATACACGGAATCGCCCGTCGGAAATATCCTTGGTGCTAAAAATTAGGAAAAGGAGTTTTATGTAGCCAAAAAGGGCATTTTGCAGATCCATCCAGCTATGTACACAAATCACCTGGATTACTGTAATGGAGATCTTTTCGGGATCAGTTTTTGCCTGCGGTTCCTCCTCAAAGTCCATACCTGCGACGTTGAAACTTTATCAATTTGACACTGAAATATTAACCTGAGATACGGAGCCTGGTAAAGACATAGATGAGGAGAGGGCACGTAAAAAAACATGGTCGACGACACTGGGCGTTTACAGTCAGAATTCAGTTGGAAATTAGAAAGATCGTGTGAGATCGACTGTTTGAGATCAGGGGTACTCTGTGGTGGAACATCATAAAATGATACAGAGACGTCTAAGTGATTGGTAGCAACTGCTGAGAATGTGATGAATTACTCAAAAACGTGGGCGGCACTTAGAGAGGATGACTCAGAAGGTGTCAGAAGTTCGTTCAGGGTTCTTCGTACAGTTGATGTTCACCGAGAAAATGAATAAGTTGCTCTCAGTGCCTTGCGATCAGCACCTTGACCTTTCTAATTGGTCTTTAGCCCGAACCCAGTGGAAGCCGCTGGTTAAGGTCGTTCGGGAGGTTATTTCGATTTTCTTGAACGATGTTTTCATACGCTTGTTTGAGAAGCTCTCTAAAGTGTGAACGTCTCATACTTGATAAATTACAGTTATATACTTGCACTTTTTTCTTCTAGGGCGGAGG